CCCCCCCCCCCCCCCTTAAAAGCTTGGGTTTGACTCTGAAGTACAGTGGGGACATTCTTGGATTCACGAGGTTCGTCTTGGTTAAACATTGAAGCTCTTGTGTGCCAAACCTGATGTAGGCTTGGTCTTGGTTGTGGGTGTCTTGATGTGCCTGCTATTCTTCCCACTTTGGAGAATTGTGGGGGGATCAAACACCCACCAAACATAAACCTTAGTAGCAATACTGGTAGGCTTGGATTTGAAGTTTGACAGTGACCCAGGTCATGATGTCTTCAACAGTGAAGACTAATAGTTTCAAAGGGTTTGTAAATAATTTAGCAAAATTCAAGACTTTTTCCAAAACAGTAGCAGCTTTAAAATGAGTGACCTTGAAAAATGAAGGAACCAGCTTTTCCCATGATGAATTACAAGCCATCATACTGTAACCAGCAATGCTGATAAGAGATTTCCAAAACTGCTAATTCTGTGACTGAAAACAAACATAAAGACTTCTTTTTTCCCATTTTTCGTGTCTTTACCTCAATTTTCCAGACTTTCAAGGTCCCAAAAACTGGTTTACAAATTTTAAGACTAACATTCTCAACAATTAAGGACTCTGTACAAACCCTAATTTCAGTCAAATATAGTATATTAATGTTTGCCACTTTGTTTTTTAGCAGATTAATAACTAATTGCATTTACAGGGTCCGAAATTCCGGGAAAGAAAGTACCATGCATTTTTTATTTGTGTTGTAACTTTTATTTGAAAAAAAGGGAGGGGGAATTTTTGGCGACCACAGTTTGCGCTCTGGCGACCAAAAATTTATACTTGATTGCCAGCTGGCGCCCGTATTAAAAAGTTCATTTCGGACCCTGATTTACATTTGATCTTTGTGACCTTATTTCTATTTTCCCGGCTGTCAATAATGAATAAGTTTGCTTTGAACCTGTTCAACAACGGCTAATGATTTCAAATTCTTGGAACCCATGATGAATGCATTTTTTCCTGGTAATTTCGTTGCCCACTTCTTGTAAATCCTTCATGTTATAACAAATGAATTAATAGAATAATATGAATCAATTGTGAGATATTTGTTTGTCTTTTTCCAGCTTTCAAATGTAGATGTCCTCATTGACATTGCTGATTCATGTGTCACGAAAATGGCACATGCTATGAACCACTTTTTTTACTTTCCATGTTCAGCATGTGTGTAATGATACAACAAAAAAACAGAATCTGCCAAGAACCTGTTGCCTAACTAGCATGTGACCAAAATCTTTTCAATTGAAATTTCACTTTCTTCCTTGGGAAACCTTGAAAATTTAAAGTGATTTTAAAAAGATTTTGCACATAACTTGCATGTTTTATGCTTTAAATTAATAAACACATAAAATAATTAGTTGTTCACAGTGAACAAGAATTTTAAATTTCCAAACCTTTTTCTACTCTTTCTACTCATTTGAAAATGTTTTGCAAAATGTTTTTTAAACTTCTCTTGGCTGCTTTATTGTCTGATATGAATTTATGTTTACTACTGACAACAATTACAGTGACTTCAACCTCAGTTAGCCAACATTGTTTTTCATTTCTTCTGTGAAAAGTCGCTGGCAAGTGTGGTCAAAGTGCCAGGCCAGCTGCTATATTGACCCTGCCATAATTATGAGATTAATAAGTTTTCTTTTGACCATTTCCACTAATGTTTACTCTTTGCTCCCACTGTGCTCCCTCCTTCCTTCTTGTGCTTGACAAATGGCAAATCCTTGCCAACTTTAGCAAAAGATGAATTAATAATTTTAAGTTCATGATCTTTATAAAAGTTTCTGCCTTGACTTTTTAGTGATTTTTCCATCTCATCAAATAGCAAGGCTGCTTTGTAGCTGCACTTGGAAAAGATCCATGCCAGCTCTGGTATAAAATCTGGTCTGTTTTCAGGCATGTTCCTTTCCAAAACCTCTTCTTCAAATTTTTTGAACAGCTTCTGTGTGCCAGCTGAGGCTTGTGCAAATCCACGAGCAACCATGCAAAGTTCATTATCAGAGAACTTGCTCATGTTCCCTGAAACTACTTTCTCCACGCTGCTGTAGAAGTCAGAACTAGGTATTTCTGCCTTTCCAAAAGCCCAGGCCAACTGACTCAACTGATCAGCTTGAAACAGGATGAGATCTCTGGACAGAATTTCTTCCTGGCATATTTTAAAGAGATCTGCACTGACATTTCCAGATTTTGCAAAAGACCACAGAAGAAGTGACAGCTCATGATTCCTGAATTTAGAAATATCACGGAGATTGATCTCTTCCTCCACAAAATCAAAAATAGAATCCATCTTTGGACATTTTTTTGCAAAAGACCACACTAGCATTGCAAGTTCCCCATTGTCAAAATCATGAATCCCTCGTGTCAAGACTTCTTCACCTAATCTCTTAAACAAATCAAAGTTGTCTATTTGACCTGTCTGCGCTTTTGCCAAAGACCACAAAATCATTTTTATCCCATGGTCTGACTGATCCTCTACAGGTCGATCCTGAATCTCGCGTTCAATAAATTCAAAAAGAATGTCACAATACATGTCTTTCTCAGTAAATGACCATAAAAATTGTGCTAGCTGCCTGCTGCTGAAGCTCTTTACATCTCTATGCAAAATCTCTTCTTTGAATTTTTCAAAGAGTTCTTGACTTCCATTTCCAGTTTTTATAAAGGACCACAAAGCTCCTGATAGTCCTCGATTTTCAAAATCCTTTAAGTTGAGCTTGCCTTCTAGAATTCTTTGCTCCACATGGGTGAAAAATTGAGATCTCTTCATACCAAGAGATGCAAAACCATTGAGAAGTTGACAAACAGCTGGGGCCATGAAGGAATTTACATCTCGTTTCATGATTTCCTGTTCACATTCAGTAACAAACCACACAACATTTTCCCTCAACTTGCCCAAAGCCCATACAATGCTGGCCAGGTCCCTAGGTTTGCATTTTCCAAAATCAGCTGCGATGTTTGTGAGCAAATCAAGAAAGACATGATGTTGCTCTTCCAACATCTTCTTGGTAGATGTGAAATTCTTTTTTGGAGAACTTACAGCGAATTTGGCTAAGCGATGCAAAATAGTTATTCTATTCACTTGAGTCATACCTGGAGAGTTCTTGAAATGTTCATATAGATAAAGATGTCCATCAGCATTCTTCACAGCTGCAATATCCTTGGCCAGGTCCATAGGTGTTATTGAGTTAAAAGCACAAGGAACCACTGGTGTGGCCTTTCTCAAGTTCTTTTTCACAGCCCCCTTAAAGTCTACTGTTTTATACAACGGCATGAATTTTCCTGTTAAACACCTTGTTTGCATTAAGTGGTTATATCTGCCTGACTGTTTGATAATAGTTGAACCAAGGCGATTAGATCTTGCGAGAACTGACATCGAAGCAATGACTCTTACTCTGTACATTTTAAATTGACTCAGGATAAACTGGAAGTAGGGCTTGAGAACTGTAAAAGAAAAATGAGGATTTAGTAAGAACAGGTTAAAAACTTCACAATAAACTTAAATGACCAGCGTTATTACGGTTTATGTACAAACTTTACTTCAACTGAAACTGCTGAAGAAGGAAAATAAGCAAAACACATGGCATATACATGAAGGGTTTAGTTTCTGAGATTCTACTTTCAGTTTATCATGGCCTTAAAAAAATGCAAAACTTTCGTTTTAAGCTAGTACCTACCTTAAGAAGCGTCACATTTGAAAGAGAGAGTTGAAAAACTCGAGAAGTCAGGCAAGTCAGAACATTAACCACGCCGCTTCGTCCGCCATCTTGTACGGTGGTTATCATTAGGTTCCAGTCGGTTTCTGCCAGGTTTCCCACTATGCACTACGTCAGAAGCATAATAAAAGCTCTCTGTTTCCCGCCACGACGCCAAACGGTTTGCGGCAGAGGTAAGCTTTTGTACTATGGTAAGTTAAAATACCACTTAATCTTAAACCTTACATCAAAAATGAACTTCTAAACTATTTGATGAGTATGAGGAGGCAGGCAAAGTCGAATTTTAGTTTATAATGACTGGAGACAAGCTGATCTTCAAATTTAACTTATGCCGTTGTCAGTTTCTAGTTTCTTTCATGATCGTCACGCGATGCCTTTTGCTTTATTTGTATTGTATGGTATTTACTCGCCGGATTGCACTCCGATCATAATGAAACTTTAAAATAAAATCTTTGCAATTCATACTCTCAATACTTGCCATCCTCGCACGAACGGAACGTAGTACAGTGTATTAAGTATAAACGATGTCGGAAGTATAAAGATTAAAATTAAACTTATTGTTTGTTTGCTTGTTTTAGAGGGAAATATATCAACCAAGTTTCGTCAATTGGTGAGTCATTATTGCTATCTTGTGGGGATTTCACGGGTCACCAAACAGGACACATCGAACCGATCACCTTTACCCAACATTCAACATTATTTTAAAATGCTTTCTGGATGGCGTAGGGGAGGGGGAGGTGCTCTGCAGTGCAAATTAGTAAATTAAAACAGCACAAATAAATAGGCAATTACATAAAGTGAGAAAAATTATAAGTATAAATGTTGTTCAATGTTTCGATGTATCCACATAAACATACATTGAATGTATGTAATAAATTTTATTACATATCTTTTGACTCGTCATCAGTCAAATCAAGTCAACTCTATTCTTCTTTTGTTGAAGTTCCAATTATTATTATAACTTCCTACATAGCATATCTTGGACAGCCTTAGTTTGGCCTTAAAATAAGGTGGAAGCTTTGGCCCCTTTCTGAGATTCATCACCCTATCCCAGACGGCGAACTGTGCAAATTTGATGTTCAATCCAGTGATCAATTTCCCATAATTTATTAAACAATTATAACCCATCAGGCTAGACCTAGTTCTCTGATTTCTATACCTTACCGTGGATTAAACTGCTTGAAAGTCCAGCAGCACAAAACTATTTAGTTGTAGCTTGTATCTAGCAGATGTAAATATTATGAACCTTTACATCAACTTATTCAGCCATAATCCCATCTTGCTCATACATATCAATACCTCTCTGGGTCTACAAGTGTAGGTGCTATGAATAAACAGGTTTGACCACTTGTATTTGCTGTTCCAATTAGCTGTTTGTCCTTTGGAGACTACATGATATTTTCATTCAATCGCTCCTTGCAGAAGTCCATAACCCAGAGTGAGGAACTTCCATGTACACTCGTGTCACCAGACCAGAGACCAGTATCTTTTTAGAATGGTTTTGACACAAATTTAAGTCCCATAAACCAGTCAGCAAGACCTATAGAAATGATATTTTTGACCTTCAAATGACATCTGAGTCTTCCTAGTTCATATCTCATAGTTCGATGTGTGCTTACAGACAGAGCAGAGCTTTCATTTTGAGAAGAAAAAGTTCTCAAAAATGTATGTGAAAATAAACCGGTCCATGAAAACACTTGGACATAGGACTAGTATGGGAGTTGTTTGCTGTGGTATAAATTCAAAAAGAATGTCACAATACATGTCTTTCTCAGTAAATGACCATAAAAATTGTGCTAGCTGCCTGCTGCTGAAGCTCTTTACATCTCTATGCAAAATCTCTTCTTTGAATTTTTCAAAGAGTTCTTGACTTCCATTTCCAGTTTTTATAAAGGACCACAAAGCTCCTGATAGTCCTCGATTTTCAAAATCCTTTAAGTTGAGCTTGCCTTCTAGAATTCTTTGCTCCACATGGGTGAAAAATTGAGATCTCTTCATACCAAGAGATGCAAAACCATTGAGAAGTTGACAAACAGCTGGGGCCATGAAGGAATTTACATCTCGTTTCATGATTTCCTGTTCACATTCAGTAACAAACCACACAACATTTTCCCTCAACTTGCCCAAAGCCCATACAATGCTGGCCAGGTCCCTAGGTTTGCATTTTCCAAAATCAGCTGCGATGTTTGTGAGCAAATCAAGAAAGACATGATGTTGCTCTTCCAACATCTTCTTGGTAGATGTGAAATTCTTTTTTGGAGAACTTACAGCGAATTTGGCTAAGCGATGCAAAATAGTTATTCTATTCACTTGAGTCATACCTGGAGAGTTCTTGAAATGTTCATATAGATAAAGATGTCCATCAGCATTCTTCACAGCTGCAATATCCTTGGCCAGGTCCATAGGTGTTATTGAGTTAAAAGCACAAGGAACCACTGGTGTGGCCTTTCTCAAGTTCTTTTTCACAGCCCCCTTAAAGTCTACTGTTTTATACAATGGCATGAATTTTCCAGTTAAACATCTTGTTTGCATAAAGTGGTTATATCTGCCTGACTGTTTGATAATAGTTGAACCAAGGCGATTAGATCTTGCGAGAACAGACATCGAAGCAATGACTCTTACTCTGTACATTTTAAATTGACTCAGGATAAACTGGAAGTAGAGCTTGAGAACTGTAAAACAAAAATGAGGATTAAGTAAGAACAGGGTAAAAACGTCACAATAAACTTAAATGACCAGCGTTATTAAGGTTTATGTACAAACTTTACTTCAACTGAAACTGCTGAAGAAGGAAAATAAGCAAAACACATGGCAAATACATGAAGGGTTTAGTTTCTGAGATTCTACTTTCAGTTTATCATGGCCTTAAAAAAAATGCAAAACTTTCGTTTTAAGCTAGTACCTACCTTAAGAAGCGTCACATTTAAAAGAGAGAGTTGAAAAACTCGAGAAGTCAGGCAAGTCAGAACATTAACCACGCCGCTTCGTCCGCCATCTTGTACGGTGGTTATCATTAGGTTCCAGTCGGTTTCTGCCGGGTTTCCCACTATGCACCACGTCAGAAGCAAAATAAAAGCTCGCTGTTTCCCGCCACGACGTCAAACGGTTTGCGGCAGAGGTAAGCTTTTGTACTATGGTAAGTTAAAATACCACTTAATCTTAAACCTTACATCAAAAATGAACTTCTAAACTATTTGATGAGTATGAGGAGGCAGGCAAAGTCGAATTTTAGTTTATAATGACTGGAGACAAGCTGATCTTCAAATTTAACTTATGCCGTTGTCAGTTTCTGTTTCTTTCATGATCGTCACGCGATGCCTTTTGCTTTGTATTGTATGGCATTTACTCGCCGGATTGCACTCCGATCATAATGAAACTTTAAAATCTTTGCAATTCATACTCTCAATACTTGCCATCCTCGCACGAACGTCGCACAGTGTATTAAGTATAAACAATGTCGGAAGTATAAAGATTAAAATTAAACTTACTGTTTGTTTGCTTGTTTTAGAGGGAAATATATCAAACAAGTTTCGTCAATTGGTGAGTCATTATTGCTATCTTATGGGGATTTCACGGGTCACCAAACAGGACACATCGAACCGATCACCTTTACCCAACATTCAACATTATTTTAAAATGCTTTCTGGATGGCCAAGGGGAGGGGGTACATAGCATATCGTGGACAGCCTTTGTTTGGCCTTAAAATAAGGTGGAAGCTTTGGCTCCTTTCTGAGATTCATCACGCTATTCCAGACGGCGAACAGTGCAAATTTGATGTTCAATCCAGTGATCAATTTCCCATAAACAATGATAACCCATCAGGCTAGACCAAGGACTCTGATTTCTAAACCTTACCCTGGATTAAACTGCTTGAAAGCCCAGCAGCACAAAACTATTTAGTTGTAGCTTGTATCTAGCAGGCGTAAATATTATGAACCTGTACATCAACTTATTCAGCCATAATCCCATCTTACTCAAACATATCAATACCTCTCTGGGTCTACAAGTGTAGGTGCTATGAATAAACAGGCTTGACCACTTGTATTTGCTGCTCCAATTAGCTGTTTATCCTTTGGAGACTACACAATATTTCCATTCAATCACTCCTTGCAGAAGTCCATAACCCAGAGTGAGGAACTTCCATGTACACTCATGTCACTGCAATTTTTTTCTGACCAGTATCTTTTTAGAATGGTTTTGACACAAATTTAAGTCCCGTAAACCAGTCAGCAAGACCTATAGAAATGATATTTTTGACCTTCAAATGACATCTGAGTCTTCCTAGTTCATATCTCATACTTCGATGTGTGCTTACAGACAGAGCAGAGCTTTCATTTTGAGAAGAAAAAGTTCTCAAAAATGTATGTGAAAATAAACCGGTCCATGAAAACACTTGGACATAGGACTAGTATGGGAGTTGTTTGCTGTGGGTTATAACCTCTTGTTCCTCATGATCATGAAAATATGGTATGTACTGTATTTTAAATAAAGCAGATACATTACTGAAAAATTTATGTGTATGGATTCCATTACATTTTGGAAGAAGTATAAGATCCTAGGGAAACTATCCACCTAGCCCTCCCCTAACCAAACATCAACACTAACTTCATACTTAGGGCAAAATTTTGGGTTAGGAGAGGGGAAGGTAGGGAGTTTACTACAATCAGAACAATCACTCTACCTATTGGTAACTTTTCTGATTATAGTATAATTTGTTACTCTAGTTTATCAGAAACAGGATGATGTCAGGAGCATTATTTGGGGCTGTGTCTTCATGTATTGACCGTTGGAAGTATGGTAAGAACAAGGCAATTAGAGTTTTATAGATATATTTATTTATTATCAAGCCTGCTAAGGAGATAGCCCTTTTATTTGATTTCACTTTAACGAATTAATGTTACTTGTACGTGAATAACAGCTTTGTAATACGGCCAGTCTATATTTATCATCAGTCTTTCTAAGAACACCATCAGTGAAGATGCTCAAATCAACTGGATGAGATAACATGCAGCGGATTTTTTGGGTTCTGCCTCTCCTCACCCCTCCCTCCACCAGGCATAGAAAGCTGCTTTCCCCACTCCACCCCTCTATAGTTCGCTGCTCATGCGACAGCAGCTAAGTGCTTCATGCATATCTTTATCCTTAACAGTTTGGAACGCTGTTGCTCCTCATATCGTTCCTTTATTGATCTACCGCTGAGTCCAGTCCATTCCTGTCTTTCCCCACTGGGAAAAGCGCAGGTCAAAAACTGACCAATAGCGCTTTTTATGACCAACTCAGGTGTTTCGCTTATCATTCGAACGGGCTTTTGTGCCTCATCAGTTCTCGGTTTAGTTGTCACTTTTGCATACATTAGAAGAAACTCGCGAATCATGTTAACCTCTGCCAAATCTTTTGCTTGTCGTTTCTTTAAAGAAATACCTGCACAGGACATGGCGGACTGCTTTCGCGCAGTTTTTCTGTCCGTTAAGTTTGGAACGTAACCCTTCGCGGTGGCTGGACGAATGATTCTCGTTTCTCCCGTTTGTAGCGTGGGTTTTCTTCTTTGTAAGATTGGAGAGCTTAAGCTTCTCTGAGAAACAGCACTAAAGCAAGACCTTGCAGAGGAAACTCTCCTGACTGGTGAGATGTTTTGTTCTTGGCGTGCTGTTTTTCGCAATCGTGGTTTAAAAACTTCGACGCGTTCACTTCCCGATTGTGACGTCGCCGCGCTCGGCAGGCGCTCCCGATTTGCCGAAACCTTTCGGCTGGTTGCCGATTTAACGCTTCGAGTCGTGTCGCTGCTTGCGGGTTTTTCTCTTTGATTCTCGATCTCTTGATGTTGTTCCTCTGGAGTTTGTTCCACTAGGCTATGAATTGTGTCTACATTGTTCATCTCGTATCCTGAATCAGAGTTAAAAAACCGCACACTGCTTCTTCGACGCTGAATTATATTTTGCAAGGATTGTTTTAATTGCGGATCCGTTAAACTGTTCAGAACTTCTTTTTCCTTCGATGATATGTTTTCTTCCTTTGAATATGTTTCGCTATTTGTACAATTTCCCTTCCCACTGATGCTCAAAAACACGTCTTGGCTTTCGTTGTAATCGTCATTTTCCAAATGATACTGTTGATCTTCACTTATCGTTACCGGGGTGTGAATCTCAGGAGGAAGACAACCATTCAAATGGTTGTTCGTAGCCGAAAACTTCTTGACGTCAATTTCCAAGTTCTCCTTCAAGTTGCTTTCCACATTACTCATGTGTCGACTGTAAAAACTTTGCGGAGTCTCGGTTTGATTTTGTACTCTTTCTTTTCCTCCCATGGTATTCAAGGCAGCTTTTGTGAGGTATTTTTTCTCTGTCCCATTTCTGTTTACAGGTAAACTGTTGCTCAAAGATGAATTTATGGACCTTCCAGAAGAAGCCCGCTCATTAGCCCCGCGAGGTTTTCTCGCTGAAAGTTGTCGATGTGCGGGCTCTTCATGAAAAGTCACACGCCCTTCGTTTTTGATCTGTTCGTGAAGACTTTTTAAGATTAACTTCTTTTTAAAGAGTGAATCTTTCGCTTCTCCACACGCAATAATATCATGTCTGCTAGCTTGTCGCAACGATTCCAAAATCGCCGCTTTTTTCACATTACCTGCAACCATTTTTTCGCTCTTTGAATGCAACTGGTCCACGACATTTCCTAAAGTGAAGCATTCTTCATGTTGTTTGAACTGAATGAGCGAATTATTTAAGAGGACATTCATTGGCTTCATGGCCCTTCCTTGTGAAATCGTCATTTTCCAGAAAATGTCTTTGTCAAGAAGACATTTGTGAAAAGCAAGATGTTTTTTTACTTCCAACTTCCTCAAACTTCCTGTAAACGACCCTCTAGTTAGAAGCGGAACATTATCTCGCGAGTTTACGAGGCAACTTGTTGTTCGCCAATGTTTATACTGGACCTTGTTGCTAACTTCGATAGTAAAACAAAGCGACGGATTGTGGTGGAAATGTCGTCAACCAAACATCACACATTACGACAGAAATATTGTTCATTAACTTCTTCTTTGCGTACTTGGTCTAGATTTACTCTTAAGTGTCTGGTCGATAAACCTTGGTTAAAATTGCCCAAACTTAAAGCCAGTTGATATGAAAATAAGCCTCTGCTTTCCTTAGAGTGTTCTTCCTAATTGGAAATCATTTGCACTTTTTATTCCAGGTCTGAGATTAGCACCTAATTGTTTGTAAGATGTCATTGGCCAGTTTTGTACATAATGCCTTTGTTTAGCTATGGGACAATTTTTGAAAGCGTTGATGCTTTCAGTCTCTTGTTTTTGTCTGTTCTAAAGCACTGTATTGTTCTTGTATTTAGCTCAGTTCCTTTCAATTTTCTTCGATCGAATAAGAAAGCTGTAGCTCTTTCCTGATTAAATCAAAATGAACTATTTTCTAAGTGAAACCAGATGCACGATTCCCTATTTGAATAAAAGGGCTTGTGACAAAACCTGGATTAACATTTCAGCCCGTTAAACAAANTGGCCAGTTTTGTACATAATGCCTTTGTTTAGCTATGGGACAATTTTTGAAAGCGTTGATGCTTTCAGTCTCTTGTTTTTGTCTGTTCTAAAGCACTGTATTGTTCTTGAATTTAGCTCAGTTCCTTTC